TGTGTATGCTGAAGCAGCTGAAGAGGAAACCAAGAGTTGCGTTAATTTTATAATAAAAATAGCGTTTTTGAAACTGCTATGGTCTTATGTGTCAAGACCAAGCTCCAGTTGGTATTAGTTTCAAAGTGTGTCCATGATTTAACTTGCTTTAATTGATAAATTGAGGATTCAGAGGTTAACACCTTATGGCTGATGCAGTAAAACATGATGCCGTGCACAGATTGTACCGTTAATAAACAATACCTTTGTCTCCTGGTTTCTTTATAGGGCTAACGATTGCATCCTTTAATTCATCCAGGCTTTTATCAAAGTGCTCAAAGTGCTCTGCCATTTCATCCAGTCTTTCTTTGATGCTGACTTCAGCCGCTACCCATTGATTAAGAAGCTCTTTAGAGTGTTCTTCGAAATCAGGGTCCATGCATTCCTTTTTCAGATCATCAATAGCACTTTGGTAACCAGCTCCTCCCAGTCTCACCAATGCATCTTGGATGTCTTTCCAGTATTGATTGAATGTTGGGTCATCAACTGAGGCCTCGCTGGCATGACCATAAACTGTGTTTCTGTAGCACTTGATGCGAACGATATCTGCCTCAAGGGTTGTGTCTGTTGCAGGAGGAAGTGTATCCCAGCCGGTAGCTGGACGAACAAGACCGCATATATTCCTCAGCAAAACCATCAGTAGAGTGATATCGAAATTCTTTGATGAAACTGCAGATTTGATTGCTTTAGGATATAGTTGTCCCCATTGGGAAGGATTAAGAATTCCTTTCTTTCGAAGTGATTGTAAGACTGCATGAACTGGAGGACTTAACAAAACTGTGTGCAGGTCTCCTGTTGGACGCCTCTTCTCAAAAGTCTCTCTCAAGATACGTGCACTAACATCCACCAGAAGCCTGCATAAGCGGGCGTAATTGGTTGTCTCTTTTGTCGAATGAAACGAAGGTGCTGCGGCGGTGGCCATGAAGAAATACTGGATCTTTAATCAATTAATTGAAAAGAAGTAAAATTAGTCAATATTTAACGTTGAGATAATATGTATCCAATTACATAATTACAAACTGTTATCAGATCTGGACAGGAAGTGAATTTGGCATATGATTTTCACCAGGCAAGGTAATTTTCAAGTGTTCTGTGCTTGATAATTTGGCATTTTCCTTATTTATTTTATGAAATACCATCCACAACATAAAATCTTGTATCAAAAAATGAACTTAGACTCCACTCCGCTTCAAATTATTTGTCAGGAAGAATATTGAACGATCACCTCGCTATTATTATAATTACCGATACGTCTGAAGGCTTGTTTATTACAGATTTTACTGATGCTACTTTTCAATATTCCTTGAACACATCTAAACACAGGTTACTAGTTTAAGTTGCCCCAGATTTGTTTTGTTTTGTTTTGTTTTTTTCTTGGTGTGTGTGAAATTTTGCTTATGATAGTTTTTATACTCTTCGGTCTCGTGATTTGTCCGATACCGTGGCATAGCAAGGCAAGAACTGAACGCTCACGAGAAGCGCGTTAGGAGAGTAGTTTGTAAAACCATACCGCTCCTTTCTTCGCACTCGCATTAGTTTGCTAAAGCTCGCCTAAAAAGGTGGCCTCACTTAAAGATCATTTACTTCAAATGAAAGTAACTATGGACGTGAAAAAAAGGAAGAAAAAAGGAATTGTTACGCAGACTGCAGGCATACAATAAACGTTCTCAGATGACTTCATAATTATGTAGCTTGTAAAACCAATGGTCATTCCCAAGATAGGATAAGGCCAAATAACTCTCTTTTTCCATGTAATATCGTAAAAACAATTGGTTTTCAACTTAAATTTCAAAAGCTTATTGTCTTGGCAGCGCGATGGCAACATGTTGAAAAAATCGATAAGGAAGTCAAACTGAGTTCCTCACTGTAGCTTCTCCCACCTCATCTAACTTAAAGGTAAGAACCGGTGACATCTCCATTTTTCTGGTACGACACGGAAGAAAGCCAGTTGAAGCCCTTGATATGGAAAGAGAGGAATGACTACAGCAGTACGGTCGAGTAAGCGGAAAACCAGTCGAACTCTCTCAAGCAATTTTCACTTTTAAAACCGATTGTAACCGTGACGTATTCAACAAGATGGAAAAATTAGTATCCAAAAGAAGAAATCTCAAAAAAAATGAAAGCAAACGGCTAAAGTCAATTTGTGTTAATGTCTCAATTGTGCTTTAAATGGCCAGTGACGCATGAAATATCAAACAGTGCGAGCAAAAACGTTTACGCGATATTTGCTAGATGGCAAACTGATCGTTAAGTTGTAAAGATCCACAAAGGATTTAAGGGAACAATGGAACTAAAATATCTTCAGTTTGGATTGAGGGATTATGGAAACAATTAAAAAGAAAATGGGTGAAAGTGGAGCACTTAAAATAACGTTGCGTTCATGCCGTTTCTTAATTAAGAACAGTAGTATACTTCGACATTTAAACCAGATATTTAAGGATTTTAAACCAGGCAAGTACTTCAAACATCAATGGAGCAAAACTACCCGGAATTGAAACGAACAAAACTGCCAACAAAGGGTTTTTAGTATGTCGATACTGTAATTGGATACGCTTTGATCTCTTGGTATTTTAGTTTCCAAGGCATCATACTCTGTATATTTGTTGTTTTGGTAGGCACATGATCAATCAAACCCATA